TATCCCAGGAATTCTAGGCCCCCTTTTTTTCCTCTCCTCCCCCTCCCTCCTGTCCCTCCCCGCTTGGTGCTTTGAGAAGGAAAGCCTAAATAGCATTTGCAACCCCTGCAAAAGAATTTTGAACCAGGGAGCTTGGCTAAGTCCTGGGGGCGTGGCCATTGCTCTTCCTTGTTTTTGTTTTTGATTGTTTGTTCACCCCGTTTTAAACCTGGCCTGTTTGTTCAGCCGGGCATTATCCCTTCTGGTGATGCTCGCAGGACAGGCATCGCAGGACGAACTGAATTGTGGTTTTGGGGATTGCACCATGTTCATATAGCTGGGCCTGCTAAAATTGGGTGGCTTAGGCTAGCTGGTGGTTGATTTCCTGTGTCCTGTCAGTCGGGGCTGTGACTCATCCCCCGGCCTCTCTGGATTACCTACTTGAATCTCTTTGGTTCCTCCCCATCACTTCTTTGCAAGTGTTTTGCCCCAGAGATGCAGCTTAGGTGGTGGGCTTCCAGGTACCCTTAGTAGAACAGCATGGCCAGCTTACTGTCTCTAGACCGAAATGGGCACAAGCAGAACCCTGGGAAACTCACCTGATGAGGGATGAGTTGGAGTCAGCCTGGTCTGGGTACCTCTGTGCCTAATCCCGAAGCATACAGCATAACGGAGTGGGAAAGGGACCTTGGAGGTCTTCTAGTCCAGCCCCCCCTGTTTGAGTAGGAGATGATCTATCATTCTGGGCAAATAGCCGTCTACTTTTTTTTCTTTAAAAACTCCAGTGAGGGAGGAAAAGCTTTTCCACGGTTCGTTCTCATTGACAGGAAATTTCTCTTTAATGATCATCCACCCATTATGTCTCATCTTGCCCTTCTGGTACTTTGGAGAACAGATTGACCCCCCCCCCTCTCCTCTGAAGCAGCCCCTCCAATATTGGAAGGCTGCCATTATGTCACCCTTAGCTCTTCCCTTTACTTCTCTTTAGTCCTTCCTTCCTTCCTTAATTTCTTTCTTTCTTCCTTCTTTCTTTCTTTCCTTCTTTCCTTCCTTCCCCCCTCCCTCCCTCCTTCCTTCCTTCCTTTCTTAATTCCTTCCTTCCTTTCTTAATTCCTTTCCTTCTTTCTTTCTTTTTCTTCTTTCTTTCCTTCTTTCCTTCCTTCCTTCTTTCTTTCCTTCCTTCCTTCTTTCTTTCCTTCCTTCTTTCCTTCCTTCCTTCTTTCTTTCTTTCTTTCTTCTTTCTTCGTTCCTCCTCCCTCCCTCCTTCCTTCCTTCATTCCTTTCTTAATTCCTTCCTTCCTTTCTTAATTCCTTCCTTTCTTTCTTTTTTTCTTTTTCTTCCTTCCTTCCTTCCTTCCTTCCTTCCTTCCTTCCTTCCTTCCTTCCTTCCTCCCTCCCTCAATCCTCCCTCCTTC